TACAGACACTCCTGCTAAACAGGCTCCCATGATTTGTCCTTTTTGGAAGTTTGGACCCACAGCTTACTAAACACTAGTGAACACAAATTATATGACAATGAAAAGATAAATAAAAGATCACTGCAATGTTGTTTTTTCACTGCAGCCTAAACACACAATATTAACCCCTGTAGTGACAGATGTTCACATTATTTTGTCCAACCCCTGTAGATGGATATGGATATAAAAATGGATACAGATTTCATATATAGATATAATCTAGTAACTTGTAAGCTACACACATACACTATACCAGCTAAAAGTTTGAGATGTTATTTTTTTAAATTTTAAATAAAATTTTTCATGTTTTTGAAAGAAGTCTCTTATGCTCACCAAGGCCGCATTTATTTGATTGTGAAATATTTATTGTTTTCTAATTCTTAATATATTTTAAGTTGTAATTTATTCTGGTGATGGTAAAGCTGAAATTTCAGTACCCATAACTCCATTCTTCAGTGTCACGTGATCCTTCAGAAATAATTTGAATATACTGATTTGGTGCTCAATTATTATTAATGGTTCATATGATTACCAATGTTGAAAACAGCTTAGTTTCTATTAGTTATAATGCTTCATTAATACTAAATAAATTTTTGAATGGTTGAATATTAAACTGTTTTCAGCATTGATAATAACAATAAATATTTCTCAAGCACCAAATCAGAATATTAGATTGATTTCTGAAGGAAATATAAAAATAATTTGGTGGCGATGACAACAGTGATGTTGATGACAATGTTGTTGTTTTGTAGATGAGCAGACTCGTTTTACCAGGCATGCTCCAGAGGTAAACACACAGCCAGCTCTGATCATATCTGTTAAATTATGAAAACTGTGTTTATGTTTTACGTGAGGGCTTGTTTACTCTCAGGGGGAAAGGCCTCATTATAAATATATCATCAGAAGCTGCAACTCCGCCACAGCCAATGCTGTCAGTGTATTCTGCCACTAAGGTAAATCTTTGTTGGACACAAAACAAATTTCATACGCTTGTATATTTCAATCAAACGCAGCCTTACAAAATAACATAAGTTATGAAAATAACTAAAGCGTGTCTTCCTCTTTTCTTACACCTAGATATTTGTAACATATTTCTCTCGCTGTCTGCATGCAGAATACAGGTCAAAAGGAATCACGGTTCAAGTAAGTCCAGTATTGGAAAACATCTTGTACATTTTTATTTTTGCCAAACCTTGATGTTGTTTCTCTTCCTTTGTCCAGTGTGTAGCCCCGTTTATGGTCTCCACTAATATGACTCATAATGTGCCTGTGAATCCACTGTGAAAAGTGCTGCTTCGTTTGCTAGAGATGCTCTGAACACTGTGGGTTACACAACATACACAAGTGGATGTTTAACTCATGCACTGCAGGTAACTCCACACAGTTAGTTTGTTTAATGTGGGATGGCAGCTTTTATAACAATTTTTACCCTCTTCTCAATACATATTTCAATACACATATTCTCAATACAGTTTGTAGTATATAAATATACAGGGTTGTGTTGTAATGTCCTATTCATTTTTATTTTATTTCAGTCATTTAAAAATCTGAATATGTTGTAGAATGATAACTTACCATCCTTTGTTGTTTCAGCACTTTGCTCTGTCCATCTTTTTCCCGGGCTGGCTGCGTCTCACGTCCTTTTGTGTGCAACGCATGGCAAAATTCGCTCGTAGCATTGAACCACAATTAAGGGAGAGGATGGCAGAGACGAGAAACAAACAGGACTGACACAAATCTGTGGACAGCAGAGATAAACATAAAAAAACAGATAACAAAACATGCATACACATACAAACATACAGTATGTATAATGGCATTAACAATACCTAAACACGCAAACTCTTTTTATTGCAGTGACAGGAAAACAGATGCATTGTTACAACAGTCACACACACACATTTACATTTTTATGGTATGTTGGCTGATCTATGTCTGTGTAAACGTTAACATTCGTATCTGCATTGTGTATTTGCATCATAATCCGAAGTCTCAATTTATGTACCCCTTTCACAGAGTTCAGTGACTTTTACACTTGCATTTACAGCAGGGTAAATCGGGAAAGGGTAAATATAATTTTCCCTCCCTCAAATGCACATTATTTAATGTAAAGTATATTTCAGATGCAAACAAGGGGGAAAAGGTGAGAACATTGCACAGATCGGGGGCATGCTCCACACGGAATTTCTTTTAAAGATATTTGATTTACACGCTCATTTGTAGTTACTTTAAGGTATTTTTTAAAATATGTTTTATTACCTTATATGTGACCCTGGACCACAAAACCAGTCATAAGGGTCAGTTTTTCGAAATTAAGCTTTAAGCTTTCCATTGATGTATGGTTGTTAGGATAGGACAATGTTTGGCCGAGATACAACTATTTGAAAATCTGGAATCTGAGGGTGCAAAAAAGTCAAAATATAAAAAGCCTTTAAAGTTGCCCAAATGAAGTCCTTAGGAATGAATATTAATAAGCAGAAATTAAGTTTTTATATATTTCCGGTAGGAAATTTACAAAATATCTTCATGGAACATGGTCTTTACTTAATATCCTAATGATTTTTGGCATAAAATAAAAATCGATAATTTTGACCCATACAATGTATTTTTGGCTATTGCTACAAATATACCCGGTGCTACTTATGACTAGTTTTGTGGTCCAGGGTCACATTTGTCCAAAACTGTAATTTTCACAAATTTTTAACATCTTGTTGCAACATTTTACAAAAGTCAAGATTGAATATATTTGGTCAAAATCCCATGTTATAAAAGATGAAGTGCTATGTAGGGCAGGCTGTTTAAAAGGGTCATATGATGTTGCTAAAAAGAACATTATTTTGTGTATTTGGTGTAATGAAATGTGTTAATGCGGTTTAAAGTTAAAAAAACGGATTATTTTCCACATACTGTACATTATTGTTTCTCCTCTATGCCCCGCCTTTTTTAAACGCGTCGATTTTTACAAAGCTCGATACATAAAATATTACCCTTTTAGACATAGTTTTTGAAGTAAAGAAAATACTATTCAAAACGTATTGAAACAACAGTTATTTTATTTACCCTTGTAAGACCCCCCCCCCTCCTCCTCCTCCTCATCCTCTAAAGGTGAGGAGTTTGCATCTATATTTACAGTACTGTTGAAAAGTTTGGGGTCAGCATGAATTTTTTTTTTACGTTTCCTATACTCACCAAGGTTGCATATACTTTTAGCACATCAGTGCTGAAAACAGTTTTTTTGGGGTAAACAATAATACATGTTTTTCAGGATTCATATATATATATATATATATATATATATACAGTGGTGTGAAAAAGTGTTGGCCC